GTTCAGCAGAACGGATGCGCCCAGACTTAGGGGTGAGGACCGGTAGTGGGGTGGGGAGAGGGGCAGCTGGGGGGTGAAACTTTCATTATTGTCAATGATTGATGGCGGTTTTGAGCGGCTATGCCACTTGGCGATACATCAGCTCGCCTGGCGCCCCGTTCGGCCTTCCCTCAGCCGCCCCGCCCCGCCCGAGAGGCTGCTCACGGCACGGGGCCGACCCACCCAGGGCCGCGCCTCCTAAAAATGGATTTCTTTCTCTTTTCCGAACCTACATGCGGAAAGAGAAATGTTGCCCATCGCTGCTTTCAGAACGCCAGAGTCGGTTTGTTGTTTCATTGTGTGTCGCGACTCGGTGTTTGTTTGTTTGTTTGTTTTTTTTGTTTTTGTTTTTTTTTTTGGCATGGGGTATGTAACCGGTAAAGACGGTGTATCCCGTGTTTTGGCAAAGCTGGGGGATTTTATTGTCGGGTGGAACGACTACCATATATTGGCGATGTCCGTGCGGGCAAACCGGAGTCATCCCCGCCCCCAACCCAAGGGGTGGTGGCAGTCATCTATGACAGACGCTTTACGATTATGTTCTCATAAAGTCGCATTGATACCGAGCTATAAACGGTGGACAGTCGCAGAGGAAAGTAAGACATTTGTGAGCGTTATGATGGTGCAGGCCAGCACTACTCTGTGTAGGTTGTCTGGTGCAGGACTGCGCGAACGGCATCGATCCAAGCTATCACTACTGTGCTTATCGCACTTGGTGAGGGACGAGACACGAGATCCGAGGGAAAGCAAAGGACAGGCGTGGAGGCAGACAGTAGGCAGACAGGGACCCCCCCCCCCCCTTTCCGCTTTTCCTACGTTTTGGGGTGTTTCGGGGTGTTTCGTGCTGCTTGTGCCGAACACACATTATTATTGACGCAACATAAACTTTTCGTTCTTCGTCATCACCCCATTTGTCAGGTCAACGTCTTGAAAGTCAGCATAGTGGAAAGTTCTGCGCTCATTCGAATCTCGCGCCATTGTAGTTCACTACATGTCCGATAGAAGCGCCACAGTATATGTGGTCGACAGAGGTCACATTTTGTTTTCGGCTTCGGCCTCGGCCTTGTGTTTGTGATCACGAACGTACCGTCGACATCGTCGTTGTTTTGGATTAAAGTTGATGTGAGTGTTAAGCCTAAATTTGTCAAATTAAACTTTATTAGGAAAACTGTTGCTTTTCTTCTCGTCACCTTGATAATTTGCAATGTTAAACTTCATACTGATTTGCCCCTAACCTAAGTTTTCCCATTTTTCAACTATAAGAACAAGCATACATAAGCCGATGTAACCATGCTATTTCACGAGCAGGAAATGTATTTTGTCGTTTATTGAGTTAGGTGTCCTTGAAAGTGCTTGTAAATCGTTCACTCCATTTTAACCTGATTGTTTCAGCTGTCGAACATATGGTTTTCTTGTTTGCTAGTAGTTATAGCCATTCTGACCGCTAACATTGTTGTTGTGATAATGAGGTTATGTTGCACAAAGGTCCCTGATTGACGAAGCTGAACACTAAGTGCGCAGTAGTTATCCTGTAGGTGTGCTTTATCACACCTTTACCCGTTAGAAAACTGAAATGCACTGCCAGATAGGCCTTAACTGCAGTTTAAAACCTCCCTGTTATTCTAGTTCAATCAGCCTGTCCCTCTTGAGTATATCCAAGCAATATCTGCCATCTGGCCTGTGATATGATGCATTTTTTATTATATATATATTTTTTTTTGTTCAAAATTTTTGGATCAATGTTGTTTTGAGAATCATGTGACTTAAACTGTTATGTGGCCTCATTTTTCATTTTGTGATTGTGAACCTTGTGTTTTATATCGCTCAGTATCTTCAAATTGCTTTGAGGAGTTATTGTAAGATTTGTCTTAATTTTTGTTACAAATCTTGCCATACTTTTTTTCTCAAGCAATTTTGTTGGTGTATTAACAAAATTATTGTCAGTTCAAAGTAAAGTCCATGGACTGTAGAACTTAATTGTATTAAAACTAATAATGAAAAAAATCACTCTGGTCAGTTATGTTACAGCATTTTTTTCCTTCCTTTCCAGGTTCCAAGGTTTGACAGCTTCATCACATTGCTATGAGTGAACAGACTGCGGGCTTTTCGCCCGCTCCATCAAGCTTATCCCTCTCTGGCAATGTCATTAAGCAGGGCTGGCTTTATAAAAGGGGTAAAAATGAAACTTGGCTGATGTCATTTCTTTGAAAAATTTTCTCATGCGCCTTTAATTGTTATTTTATAATTTATTTATTTTTTAATCAGGAGAACACATTAAAACTTGGCGACCAAGATATTTCCTGCTTCTGGACAATGGTTCTCTGATTGGTTTTAAAAATAAACCAGAGATTCCCTATGGTGATCCTTTGAACAATTTTACTGTCAAAGGCTGTCAGATTATGAGTTTGGACAGACCAAAACCTTTTATTTTTATCATCAGAGGACTTCAGCTAACTACTGTTATTGAGAGGACATTTCATGCTGAAAGTGATGCTGACAGGTAAAAGACAAATTTGTTTCCTCTTGCTTACCGAAAATTTTGTTTTTCTCTCTATATTTTTTTTTTGTAATGGTTTTTGCATAGAGAGGAATGGATAGCAGCAATCAAAGCTGTATCTGACAACTTGGCTGATAGTCAGGATGTAGAAATGATGGAAAGAGCTGGTTCCATCAACAGTGTTGATTCCAGTCTTGATGGTTCAGCAATTAATGAATTGTCTGAGCTATTTTCAGTTCAGGGTACTTCTAGCAGTAATCGTTCTGGTAGAAAGAAAGTGGTATGTACACATTTGGCTGACCTTCCCAATACATATGAAAGATCATTTGACGTACAAACTGAAAAATTTGCTTTTCTTTGCAGACCTTAGAAAACTTTGAGTTTCTGAAAGTATTGGGCAAGGGCACTTTTGGAAAAGTAATTTTATGCCGAGAGAAAGCAACTGGACATCTCTATGCCATTAAAATTTTGAAAAAAGAGGTCATTATTAAAAAAGATGAAGTTGCTCATACTTTGACCGAAAATCGGGTCTTGAGAACCACAAGCCACCCTTTTCTTATTGTAAGAATATCTAATATTTCTTCCGCGTGTGTGGTTTATCTTCACATTTGTAAATGTATCCTATTTTTTCCAGAGCCTGAAGTACTCTTTCCAAACAGCTGACAGACTTTGTTTTGTTATGGAGTATGTGAATGGTGGAGAACTTTTCTTTCACCTCTCCAGAGAAAGAGTGTTTTCAGAGGACAGAACCAGGTTTTATGGAGCTGAAATAATATCAGCCCTGGGATACCTTCACAGTGAAGGAATAATTTATAGAGACTTAAAAGTAAGTTAGACTAGGTTATTTATTGTTAATTGCAATTGCAAATTTCAAAGCATTATAGCATATCAATCCTAACATATGGTGTTGTTTTTATTCATACTGTTTGTATTTTCCACCAGCTTGAAAATCTGTTATTGGATAAAGATGGCCACATTAAGATAGCAGATTTTGGCTTATGTAAAGAGGACATAACTTATGGAAGAACAACAAAGACCTTTTGTGGGACTCCAGAATACTTAGCACCAGAGGTGGAATGCCGTTGATGTTTTGTTTTGTTCATGTCTTACAGTTTATGCCGATGTATGTATCTTAACCATCTCTCTTGTTAATAGGTTCTGGATGATAATGACTATGGCAGAGCTGTTGATTGGTGGGGTGTTGGAGTAGTCATGTATGAAATGATGTGTGGTCGTCTTCCTTTCTACAACAGGGACCATGATGTCTTATTTACTCTCATTCTAGTTGAAGAAGTATGCTCTTTACCATAGTTTCCTCCCTTCAAATTATTGTTATGTATCATGTTCACTTCATGTCTATCTAATTATCTTACTTTACCCTCCACAGGTGAGATTTCCAAAGAACATATCATCTGATGCCAAGGACATGCTGACAGGCCTTCTTATGAAGGATCCTACAAAGCGACTTGGTGGTGGTCCTGAAGATGCACAAGAGATAATGGCTCATCCTTTCTTCAGCTGTATAAATTGGTCAGACCTCCAAGCTAAGAGGGTAAGCACACTTTCCGTCCATTTATTGTTATTGACAATTAAAGTGTGACTGTTAAAATGGACTTCTCTGTATTGTAGCTAACACCGCCATTCAAGCCGCAAGTAACATCAGACACAGACACAAGATACTTTGATTCAGAGTTTACTGGGGAATCAGTAGAGTTGACGCCACCTGAGAATGCTGGTCCCCTGAACTCTATTGCTGAAGAATTGGAAAACAATCAACCTTATTTTCCACAGTTTAGCTATCAGGATGTCAGTAGTTCAACTTTAGGAAGTACAATCTCAGCTTCAAACTCCTCCCTAGCAATTCAGAACGCTGTTGAATAAACTACAACGTAAGTGTTAAAAAATTCAAATTGAATATAAAACAAAACACACAACTTCAATTACACTCAGCCACAAGGTTCCTATGTGATTTACAGTGACTGAAGTGCAACTAAAGCACAGTTTTATGTGTGAAAAGATTCTGAGAGGTTGTGTGATTGTGATGAAATAATTGTTACTTCTGCAATGCATTTGTGCCATATGTGCACATTGAGTTTTCTCAACTCTCCATTGTATAGAAGTGCTGTTCATGTCTGTATTTTTATTGGTTTTAAGTTATCCTCTCTTTTTTCTTTCTTTCTTTTTTTTTTTTCATCTACAAGGGTCTGATATTTAGAACCATTTAAAAGATGGACACTGCTCTGACTCTGACTACTCATACAATCCATTTGTTTGGTTTTCAAAGGACTGTCAATAAGTGTACAGAGCCATGTTTTGGGGGCTCTACCATGGCTCTAATATCCTCTTTACATTCCTTTCCATGCAATAATGTGAATCTTCCAAACGTTCTTCAATCCTTTCAAGCATTTTTAGATTTCTAACGCTGTTATCAGGTTGGAGCCGTGTATCATGTAGATACCTACTTCAGTTCCTGATTGATTATCTCTTCTGAAACTCTTTTAACCTATGTTCCCCAAAACCCAGTCATGCTTCAGTGCTAGGAAGAAATGATTTTATTCTCTCTCAGTACTGATCTTAGGAAAAGTTTGCTGAACTCAGGTAAAAACTGACACCCTTGTATACTGTGATAAGACGGAAGTCTGTAGTTTGTTTCTTTTGTTAAAGAAAAAAATGCAATCTATTAAGTTGGTCAACTTAGGTTTTGAGGCAAGTTTTCTCGTATTATGTAAGATTAACATGAGTGACAGCATTTCAGTCTCGGAGTGACGTAATTCCATCAGGTGAAGCAAGGGGAACTTCTTAACCGAAAGAGCTTCAGAAGTTTGTATTTTTATTGTGTGTAAATAGAAGCTCAAAATTCAAACTTTTTAGATTGTTAAAAAAAAAAAAGAAAAAAAAGATTTTTCAATGTTTTGCTTGTATCAGACCCGTTTTTTGATATCAACTATTGAAAATATTGTGCCTACTATACATATATATTATTATTTTTTACTTCCCTTGTTTAATTGGACCAAAACAGGGAATCAAAATTAACAACCAGGTAATAGTAGACACCATTATTATTTGTGAATGCTTTATATAAATAAAATAGCTTGCTTTTAATATCTTAACTTTCGTTTGTATCTGTTTTTGCAGATTTGTTTGGGTAGAGGATAACTTTCATTGTAATTATGCAAACCACTGCATGTTAGTCTTTTGTCTTATTTTGTTAAAACCATGTAAACATGCGAGGTATTGTTAAGCTGGGACCAGAGAGGTCTCCGTAACTTTTCAGAGATGAAGTTTTCATCCCTGGTGGAAAACATTGTTCCAGACTGCAGCAACTTTTAGGGATGAACAAAATCCTCTGCTTGCTAATGAATTATACTCTGTATATTGGTGCTTTAAGAAATGTAGCAGTTTACAGTACTTAATGATGATAGATCCATGAACTTAGCAAACATTGAAATGTTAAATTTATGGCTATTATTTTCCTTCGGGCAGTTTGGAGTCTTAGACTCTGGTTGTCAAATAGTGTCAGTATCACATTAAAAGTGACTTTCTTTTATATTTTACCTTAGAGCATGTTGAATATGCAGTGACATTCCCTTTAGGGTAAAGAGCATTTCAAATGTTTATAAAAGACTGTCTTATTTGTCCGAGAGAGAGAGAGAGAGAAAGACAGATATTATGCAGCATCTTCCTGTCAATCTGTTCTGTTGCTTTTTTTGATTTCAAAGTAGCGGACTACTTGGCAATTTATTTAAATGCGATGTGCTCATGGATGTATTTTTGTAGTTGTTCAAATTTGTAAACCTATGCATTTTGACACCTGGCACCTAGAACCTAACAGATTTTATGAAAATGAATCAGTTGATACTTTTATAATTAATTGTTGTTGTTATTGTTACTATTTAAAATTTCATTTCTCAAAAAACTGGTCATCTTGTTGATTTAGATATATTTGCTTAAAAATTCACTCAGTGCTTGTTATTTTTCTGGAAGTACTTTGTGCATGTGTGCCTTCATCCTGTACTTTCTATTAGTGTTTGTTATGAAAATTAACGTGAGTACCCTTAATGAATCTTTGTCTTCTTGTAATTGGGAATGTTTCCCATTGTGTATCTTCATGCTGGCTTTGGTGCTCTTTGTTTCATTTGAGAGTCAAACTTTCATAGTATAAAAAAAGAGGTGAAAATCGGGAATCAGGACGTCACATGCCACATTTATGCACAGTTCAGAAATCAACCTCTTTTTGAAATAGAAGTTCTTATTGAAATTGATGATGTTGATGGTTAATTGTTTCTGTGCGCTTATTTTGAAGTAGGTGAAGAGGTACTTTTAAATTGAATCATGCTTGTATCTCCGATTTGGCAGCATAGTCTCGGTACATATTGCTTTGACAGATTGCATTCAATTGTATGTAATTGGATTCTTTTGGTGTTCATGACATGAATATGCAGTTTTGTCTGAGTCTACATCTGAAAAGGAAATGTATCAGGAGCTTCCTTATTGCTTGTACTATAACATTCAACTTTATAGAAAGGTTTATGATAATTCATATTTATGAATGACATAGCCACCTTGTCTTGTGTCCGTCAAGATATGCATCTGTTCCTGAATCTCTTGTCACATTTCTATGATTGAAAATCAAGAGTTTTATATTATCTTTATTTTAATAAACACAGGGAAGTGGCTAGTTTTGATATTTTTCTACTTGGGAAAGTAGTTTAAGAGCATGGCCTCTGAAAGATTTCCACCTCCTCTTGTTGTTCTGTACTACTATTGATATTTAATTTGTATTTGTGGTGATGTAGTTTTGAAGCTTTTAATTATTGCTGTTTTGTGGTCTAGTCTCATCAACTTCTATATGTAATTTTCATTATACTTTTTTTTCAGTAATTACTTATTATGAATTTGTTTTAATTTTGATCCACCATATATTGTAATCCAATGAAATTATGTGATTAAAGAAAGGTAACTGCTAACAAACTTTTAATTAAATGCCGTTTGCGACCTACTGACAGCTGGAAGAGCTGCCACTTTGCATAATTTGATAGTTTTCTGGGGTCTATTCACTTTGTTACTATTTGTAGAGTTCAATTTTTCATTTTGTTTGCAATTTCTGCAGATAGTGATGTTACTGGCAGGTAGAGACTTTGTAAAAGCCTCAGTAGGTCTTTTTTATTAATGAGAAATGCAAAGAACACATGCTGCTCTACTGATATTCTATTCCATATTTGTTTGGTAAATCTTCATCCGTTATAAATTGACAAGCACAGCCGAATGAAGACTTCCTATATACTGCATTAGTACATCTTTGACTGTAATACTCCTTCAAAAGAAAGTTGATAGTACAATGTATTTTTCTTTTCTTCTGCTGGACGCTGTGTGTACTTTGATTGCTCCATTTATAGTAAACTGTGAGTTGAATGGGCTCCTACAATTTTGTGTATCATGCAGGAGTCCTAATTACAATTTACTTGCATTAGCAGAAAAAGAAAACAAATGACAAAACAAATTAGAAAATACTTTAAATCATTGTGGAACTCCTGAAATTTATTTAATCTGAAAATTGCCATATCAGCGTTTTTGATGTTGTGTATTTATTTGCTTTTCACTACTTACTGGTATCTCTAATTCTAGTTACCTAAAACAATTTCATTTTGAAAATAATGCATGACATTTTTTTTGTTCAATGAGAGTGAAATGCTTTCCAATAACTGTGCTTGTTTCAATTGGTTTTTTGTTTGACTTCAACGCATCTCCATGTACATATTAAATTGACTCTTGGGATAGCCAAATGATTTTTATGCTCAATCAAGGTAGGCATTGGCTGTTTGATAACTTCTTTGCCACATTCGTTATAAAACATAGAAGTGAAGGCATTAATTCAAAGTGCTCCCAAGTTCTGATGTAGTACATAGTGGTGGTTGATTCAAATTGATTTTATTTTTAAAATGGACCAAAGTAACTGAACTGATTCGTAGAGAAAGAAATTTGGGAAGAACTTGTCTCAGTATTTCTTGTCCTTTGTCACGCATGTCTCTAAAATGTTCTGAAACATTTAACTCGGTAATTTTTTTTTATGGCTCATTTTTCTGCTTTATGGTGTTTTTGATGTGTCACGACTTGTGAGCTGGCATTATCTGCATGTTCTCTAAGGTACATCAAGAAGTACCTATATTTGTAGATAGTGTGTAGAATGTGATAAGATTGTGATTAAATTTAAATGATGTGACCATGACGTAACATCTGAAAATACCCACCAACGCCACTACCTCTCTCTCACACACACATACTTAAGGATAAGGTCTACTTTTAAGATAGTAGTTTAATAATTATACCAGATCAAAAAAAAGTAACATATATATTTAGAATATAAACTATGAAAAATAACTTTATTTTTTATAATCTAATAAGACATCACACAGTATTGAAGCTTTAAATATTGAGCTCTTCCAGTGCACATGTGGCTTCTTCAAAGCACATTCTGCATTGAATAGAGGTGCAAATTTCTTCAGAAGTTTTCTTACTTAAAACATGAAAATTTACATGACTAAATTCTTTAAAACTGAAAACAGCGAAAAGTAATATCTTCCAAGATATATGAGCTTTTGTTATGAAAAGCGAACAGGTACAGCTGTCACGCATTGTAAAATGTCACAGCATAATGTTTATGAGGAACGACATACCACAATACATATCACAGCACTAATGGCACTTTTCCTGATTTTTCAGTTTTTTCTTTGCATAGAGCTGACACTTTACATATATTTTAAGATACACAGAGATAATGAGTACAAAGCGGTAGATGATATACCACAGTTATCAAAACCATAAAGTTTCGATTACAGATGTTATTGACTAACTTTGACTAGACCAATGTATTTACCACAGAATTTTACAAAGCATGGAAATATCTTCTCCTATTTAGAAACTCTGGCTGAACAACAGGAAGTTCGTGACATCTGCATTGCTAGAGCATGCAAAGAAGTGCTAGCTGCTTGACAACAACTGTTTTGCAAGACCATCCGAAGTTGTTCCATTGTGTTCAAACAGACCATAACACAACAGGAGCTAGTATCCTTCTCTGAAAGTGTTACTTTTTCCCTATTAGTAAGGAGCAGACCATCATTTAGGACAGTTTTATCAGTGTTTGTTGATTGAACACCACCGTCATCAAAATGCACATCACATTGATCCCTGTCATCAACCTGTGTTTCGGCATCCCTTCTACTAAGGCCAATGCCCTCCAGTGGAGTATCACAGTCCTGACAGTTTTTACCAGAAGAAGATCCACACTGGCAACTTGTACATTTACAGATATCAGCAGATACAATTTTCAAAACATCAGTACTCTGACCATGGGATTGGCTACTATTTTCAGTTGCTATTTGCTTCATACAGACATTTAGTGATGCTACATCAACCCAATCAGGTTTATCAGTTGACTTTGAACCAACAGGTTCTTCAAGAACACGGGTCTCAGGGTAGGGGATATCTGAAGAGAATTGCATATCAGTAGTATTTTCCATGAGGGATAAGATGTCAGTCATATCATTGTCCACATCTCTTTCATTAAATATATTTTCACTACACGTCACATTTGGGAGGGAAGAACCAATGGCCTCAGAGACAATAGGCTCAACAGCAGGTTCATTATCGTGCATTACAGGTGGCACACAACTTTCAAGCATCAACAAGGAAGACAGAATGTTTTCTTCGTCTATACATTGTGTAGTGATACGTGGTGCAATTGTGAATGGAAGGTGCAAGAGCTGAGCTGCACTACCATTTTCAGAAGAGCTCAGTATATTCTCAGCACCCTCCACAATAGCCGGTTCAAAACTCTCTGCAACTGCAGCATCTAAAACATCAGTGCTACTCCAGTACGCCCCAAGCTCAGGAACAGGTGTAACTGATTGACTCAAAGAATCACGCAGTACAGAGGAACTATCTAAAATACCCTCCCTTTCATTCAGTGTTATTTTTGTTTCCCGAGGAACTTCTACTTCTAATTGCATCTTATGCTTTTCACCATGAGTGGAATAGCTAATAACAGCAGGTATAGATGTGTTGCCACATAAAATGAAACTGTTAGAGCTACTTTGTACTGCAGCTGAGACTGAATCCTGGTCTAAAGTCTGTGGAACAGCATCTTCTTGTTCGTCAGAATCAGAATCACCACTTGCTTCTTTCTGTAAAAAAAGTATTTTGGGAATAAGTTTGTTTCCTAAACAAGATTTCTTTTGTATATTTGACAGTATAACAGATTAATAAAAAATAACCCAAAAGCTCACATGATTCTTTGATGACATATGGGTGCGATTATGAGTTTTAAGATGATGGCTAGCAGTGAAAGCCTTGCCACAGCCTTCCTCTTGGCATCTAGAAAACAATCAATTAAAATTATATAAGAAACATAATAGATTTAATTATTACATAGATAATGAAATCTATCATGTCAGGGAGAGAAAACTCACTTGTAAGGTCTTTCCTGGGTGTGGGTACGAATATGTTTCTTTAAGTCACTGAGAGTTGTAAAAAATTTAACACAGCCTGGTTTTTCACACTTAAAAGTGTTTCCATTGTGAAGTCGTTCATGGGCTCGAAGCCTGACAAAATAAAAAATACAATCGCAACTTAAGATTGAAAAGAAGAAACCTAGATTTTGTCTTATTCTTTGAGGAAATTTTATTTCTGTACATGGGAAAAAAATTAAAATTAGTTAGAACTACAATTCTCTTACCTGTAGAGAGTATTGAAAGCCTTATCACATCCATCTTGGGTACACTCAAATGGTTTCACCTTGGTATGAACCCGAACATGAATTTTAAGACTATATGAAGTCAGAAACGCCTTCCCACAATTAGGCTGTGAACATTGAAATCGAAACTCGCCTGCAACATAATTTTAACAATCATAAGTCAAAAAGTAAAATTGGAAGAGCCACTGATGTACATAATTAATGGTAAACCCACAATCTAAAAATAGCACACACTATTAGAAGCATAAAGAAGGCCTATACAACAAATGAAAACTACAACCCTACCCCCTCTAACTAAAGATATATAACAGAAGAAAATGCATAAACAAATTAGTACTTAAGGAATAATGTAGGAATGTAAAGCATTTGCTTGGATGGAGGCACGAAGAGCTCCACAGTGATGGTGCAAGAGTCACAATAAGATTGAGAAAAATTAAATGTTAGGGCAAATGAGCATGTCTGTTATTGAGATGTACAAAAAATGTTGGTTTCTGGAAATCCACTAAGTTATCACATATCTAATGATCAGCATAATGCTTTTTAATTAATTTCACAAAGGCTGCTGCAGGAATTTTTGCTGTGGATTAGTCTGTTTGATTGAAAAGGCATGTAGTGTGTGAGAAAGACTAGGCATAAAATTCAGTAATGTTGCTCTCTACAAATAAAACAAGTTATTATGACGTCTCCCTTCCACAGTACCTTTGTGAGTCTTCATGTGCATGCGAAGGTTTCCAACAGTGCTGTAGGATCGGCTGCAACTGTCATATTCACAACGAAAACGCTTGATTTCACGCTGATTAGTGTCAGGATCAGTGGACTCGATGGTGAGCGTTGCGTGGCTTGGATCAGAAGGCATTTCTCCTTGCTTCACAAGAGGATGAAGATGCATGTGGATCTCATCTGAACTGATGGTGTGAATATACCTGCCAGTTTTCAACACAACAGACTGATGCATGAGTGCTGAATATATTTGAATATTGTGTGTTCGTTTAAATTCAAAGAATAACGATGACAATAATAGAAACTGAACAAAATTCTCTCCGTCATAATTGAAAGAGACACCCAACTAGCAAGCAATATAATGGCTGAGTTTTTGAAGTGACACAAAAATTAATGGTGATATGGAGTTCCTGATTCCTAGGCTATCAACAAGTGCCTGTTGCTTAAATACATTCCAAAAAAATACCATGCGTCTAGCAGCTAAAGAAAGAAAACTACATACTTACAGATCATAAAAGAGGATATTTGAGGTATGGCAGGAACTCCTGCCTGTGCTTACCCAGCATTTTCGGCGTTCCTTTCTTCGACATCTCTCAAGGGGTTAGTGGTGTCGAATCTGACGTTGTCGAAATCCGATATTTCTGGTAGAGATACATAATCTTCGCCAAAAGTTGTGAAATCTATGCAATCATCTCCATATTCATGCGAATCACTTTGAGCTGTCATTTTTGTGGAGTCTCTATCAAGCAGCGTTTGAAAATAATCCGATTTGCTAATGTCGGCTGCTTTGTCCGCCATCTTCTGCTCCACCTAATTCACTCCCACGCACTACGCCGCTTGCTATTTTTGTACCAACCGGTAGAGCTACGGCGGGGACGGCATGATGAGAGTACGAAAAACCCTTCATAAACAACAAAAGATTTGTCGTGCACATGTCAGCATGGCGTCATCAGTTCATTTCCAAACACAGTTCGCGCATATATCGACTGCAATCTACAATCCCTCTCTACAATACCGATTTTGGGATACCAAATTTGGAGATCGGTTATCCTAGAGGATATGGTGTTAGCGACATGCGACCGATTTGCGACCAAAGCGACTAAGCGACTTGCGATTTGCGACCGATGCGACAAGCGGTTTGCGACCGATACGACCAAGCGACTAGCGGTTTGCGACCGATGCGACTAAGCGACCAGCAACTTTGGGGCTAGCCTAATTACTATTGTGGCTTTAAAGTAGCGCTTTTATGATTCGGTTTTGTCTTTTGGCGCCACATTAGCGCGTGTGGAGCTGGTCCTCTGCGCTTGGGAGTGGTAAAATTGCAAGTTGTTTAGTCGCACATTCGCTCAGTCGCCAAGTCGCGCACCGGTCGCAAGTCGCTATTTGCTTAGTCGCACCGGTCGCAAATCGCAAGTCGCTTAGTCGCTTTGGTCGCAAATCGGTCGCATGTCGCTAACACCATATATCCCTGGTGTGCCCTTACGAAAACTTCTCATAGGCTCCTCTCTAGTCTCGCATGAGGCTGGTACGTCCCGCGGCCTTCCCCCATAACTGCAAATAGCCTGTAGTGGATAGAGGACATGCCAAATTGCTGCGAATAATCAGTGTCTAGCGGCAGCCGCCTGCTGGTGATGTGGAGTGATTGATTATTTTGATTCTTAATCTTAGATCGGTGAATACTCGATTTTCTCGTAATCATGCCAACTATTGGAGTGAAGCGAGATTTACTCTTCAAAGCCCTCGGAAAAACGTATAGTATGTGTTTCGTTTCATTTATCTAATAAGCAGTCTAGTATTATATTATTATAGTGATGGGTTAGGTTTCCATACTTCATTTGACCGATTTTTTACTTGTTTTTTAAACAATGAATAAGAGATTCTTCTATATTATCATATTTTTAAAATTGCATCTCTTGCTTCATGGACATTGCCTCCCCAAATCAAAATCCTTCTTATGCAGTTACATGCTAAAACATGCACATTTCATCATGGTTAAAATGTTACATTATTATTACTATTGTTACACTTGTGGATAAATACAGTTGTAACCTTACCTTTACTCTGTTACAGCTGATGATGAGTTCAGTCACGTATGCTTTGAATATGGCTTGGAGCTCGATGAAGTTGTAAGTTGTCACCTGTCCTGTCATTCTTGCATTGATGTAAATGATTCGAACCTATTCTATGTTCTTGTTTTCTCAATATAGACAACAGAAAAACAGATGATTAGTAAGGAACAGGGTGCTGATCAGTCTGTTGGGGCTTCAGAAGAAGTTTTGTATCGCATTGATATTCCTGCTAATCGGTATGACTTGCTATGCCTGGAAGGACTTGTTCAAGGTCTTTCCGTGTTCCAAAACAGGTAAGTGGCTCAATTTAAAAACTCAAGATGTAGGAGAACTTTATGTATTTACAAATATGTATATTCTAAAGACAATATTTAAACTAAACTAAAACAATGTACTTTTTTCCTATCTATATGTATAAAACAGGATACCCATTCCCAAGTTTTTTAAATCTGTCAAGTTAAACATTGTTGAAGAGACAAAAATTACCGTAATGCCAGATGTCAGTATCTAAATCAATCTAGTTTTCTGTTGGTTTTCAAGTTGACCTTTTGCTTGATGTGACTTTTTTAATCCTACTTTCCAGACTGCCCTGATTCGTCCATTCGTTGTTGCTGCAATCCTTAGAAATGTGACATTTGATGCCGATCGCTATGCACATTTCATAGATTTACAGGATAAATTGCATCACAACATTTGTCGCAAACGCTCTCTTGTAGCCATTGGAACTCATGATCTGGACACTATAAAGGGACCATTCATTTATGATGCAAAACATCCTGAGGATATTAAATTTAAACCTCTCAACCATGATGCCGAGCTAAGTGCACCTCAAGTTATGCAATTGTACTCAGTAAGTCTAAAATCCAACTGTCGTCTGCAGATCTTGCCTTCTATTGCAGAATTTCACGCTTTTTTCTTTTATTGCAGACTCATGCTCAGTTAAAAGCTTTCCTACCTATCATTCAGGATAGCCCAGTTTATCCTGTCATATACGATAGCAATGGTGTTGTCTTATCTTTACCACCTATTATTAATGGCCACCACTCTCGTATCACACTGAATACTAAGAACGTGTTTATTGAATGTACAGCTACTGACTTAACAAAGGTTTGTCCCCTTCCTTTTTTTAAAAAAAGCCCTGCTGCTATTGTCGTTTCTTAACATATTATATGCCTTTACTGAGTTTTCAATTATCCACTTCCTTTTTCTCCTTCCATAATTTTATGTGCAGGCTCGTGTTGTGTTGGACACGATAGTCTGCATGTTTAGCCAGTACTGCTCAGAACAATTTTCAGTGGAGGCAGTCAAGGTAGTTCAAAGTGATGGTAGTGAGTCAGTCTTCCCAGATCTGGCATATCGATTGGAAACAATTAATGTGCAAAAGGCTAATGCCTATATAGGAACAAGGCAAGTTTAATTGTTTAATTTTATTAAAGTAACTCAATCTTTGCTTGTGACATTTTCAATTTATAAGATTGTTTACCTTATATGTTGTAGTCTTTCACCTGAAAACATGGCAAATCTTCTGTCTAAAATGTGTTTAGAAAGTACAGTGAAAAACAGCACTGAACTGAGTGTGTGTGTACCCCCAACAAGGCATGATGTCATCCATGCCTGTGATATATATGAAGATGTTGCTATTGCTTATGGATACAACAACATTATAAAGACATTACCACGCACTAATACTATTGCTCAACAGGTACAATGGGAAAGACAAGATTTTTAATACGTCCTCTTACATCTGTCTCTTTACATCTGATATTAACGTGGTATTTATCTTTCTCTAGCTTCCTATCAACAAGCTATCAGATCAACTTCGGGAAGAAGTTGCTCAGGCTGGTTTCACTGAAGCCCTTACATTTGCTTTGTGTTCAAGAGACGATATTTCATCCAAGCTTGGACGAAGCATTGATGAAGTCCCAGCTGTTCACATTTCAAATCCCAAAACTTTGGAGTTCCAAGCTGCTCGAACAACTCTCCTGCCTGGCCTGCTTAAAACACTGTCTGCAAACAAACGTCTTCCTCTGCCTCTGAAACTCTTTGAAATCTCAGATGTTGTTTTACGTGATTCAAATGCTGGTATGTAGCAGTTTCTACATTTCTAAAACATCTGGAAATCCAGATATTTTATTAAAATTATTTTCTAAATTCTTTTCCAGAAACTGGAGCACGCAATGAAAGGAGGCTTTGTGCCTTAAATTGCAACAAAACTCCAGGGTTTGAAATTGTTCATGGACTGCTCGATAGAGTTATGCAGTTACTTGAAGTTCCCTTCGTGAAAGATGGTTCTGGATATACTCTACAGCCAGTGGATGGTATGTTCATTTTACTTCACATTTAGTAGACAATGTGTATCTGCTATATCAATGTATTCAAGATTTGTAACTTGTTTGGTTTGTTTACAGATCCTGCATTCTTTCCCCAGCGTTGTGCTGAAGTAGTGTACCAAGGCACATCTATTGGACGCATGGGGGTGCTCCATCCCTCTGTCCTAAATAGTTTTGATCTGGCAAATCCTTGTTCAGCTGTTGAAATTAATATTGAACCATTCTTGTAACATTGAAGTTCAATACTTGTCGTTATGCTGGTCACATGTCTCTAATTGCATTAATTTATTCTGGGCAGACAAAATAAATCATGGCTGAAGCAAAAACATGAGTCTTAAAGATGATAATCACCACAAGGATGTTTCCATAACAAAATACTGACTTATATGAGGGTTGAGAATGAATAAGACTTAATTTGGGAATCATTTTTATTTCATGACAATATACTGAGGAAATTGAGACTGCTGACCTTACAAATGCACATCACTGCTCAACCTTGTCAACACAGGATCAATTAATTTCATTGATTTTCTTTGCAAATGTAAACCGACACAAATTCAGCTATGTCTGCTTTAAAAAATCCTACATGTTCAACAGAAGTTTTCCAACATATGTTTAATGAAACAGTATGCTGGTAAAACATGCAGATGTCTGTTATAATCCAGAGAAAACCAAGCAAATCCTTAGTATCAGTCTTATAACTTCAACACTTATCACACACAAAAAAAAAGTATCACAAAAATGTACAAAAAGAATCAATGCAGACAGTTACCCAATTGTCTTGATACTCATGTGAACAAAGGAAGGTCTAACAGTTACGGGTAATGACAAAAAGAGAACTTCATGATTTTAGAATGTTAGCTATGAAAAGAAACAACTCCACGCCAAATTTTAAAGGGATTAATCTCAACGTACATTTCCAGAAAAACCTTGGGTCAAGAGAATTGGGTAAGCTGCAAATATGCCACAATGAATATACTGGTGGCACTGCCACAACTAATTGCTTATTTCTTAACATTTTTTTTAACCTTTTAATATTTTTTTCCAATACAATGTGTGCTACATGCATGCAAACTAAATGATTTAATAAGCAGCATACACATATAATGTATATATGCAAACAAATACGAAAACAATATGCAAACAATTACAACAACACACACATCCAAATTACTTTCTGAAATTGCACCACACATGTTCCAGCATGCTTTACATATGGCGCGAACGCACATTCATGCTCATGATTGCACACCATATGAAGTCATAGTTCTGTGCCCAGCGCTGCAGCTAGCACAAAGTACAAGCTAATATAATCAATATATAAATCAAGGAAGCTACAAATGCTACATAATACAGAGTATATGGTATTCACATCACATGACGAGCAGGACAGGTATTACTGACATGCAAAATCAATCATGATAATAATGCTGTTAAGATAACCATAAGTTAGTAATAAACTTAAACCGTATGTATATAGAAGTGCAGTGTGTGGGAGAGGGATTTTAGCTGGAAATTCTAGTGGTCCCACTGGAAACTCAAATTTGTTTGGCTTAAAAGGGACATGTACAAAAAAAACAACACTTATATCCCATCCACGAATTAAGGGGCCTATTCAATAGGTCCATGCATAAGAGTTTTGCTTAGATTGCAAGTTAAATTTTGAAGTACACGAGAAGATTCTGGGAATACAAAGAGAAGAGCAAATGTTGTTACAGATGTGAAACGTTTGTGACAAAGCTCATACTAGCTGGCTGTTTCCAAAAACAGCATAATGGTTGCATTTCTCTGTCAGTAGAATGTACAACATTTTCAAGCAAAGTCATCAAGTACTTGAAAAAGCACTTACATTTTTATGCATGAGAAAGAAAAATAGACAAGTATCATCTACTCCCTGTTTAAAATGCACACTTCATATACATTCAGGTTAGCCAAAGTGGAATATTTGAAACTATGAGTAATTACAGAAGAATGATATGAAAAAAGAAAAAGAAAAGTCAGGCAGTCAAAATCAAATCACATCAGTCTTTGGTTTAGAACAATGCTATATGAAGTTGCTCAATTAATTTTAGTACAATATTAAGAATCAAACATCTACTAACAGGTAGAAAAGGACAGTAATAATAGCTGAGGGCCAATCATCCAAAAATCATCTGAATCCAGCACAATCAATCAATTATCTTTTAAGACAACAACACTGTCTCCTCAAAGAAGGTACACAAACACTTTTCAGCCATAACTCAGCATCCCTCTCCCAGCTTTATCAAATTTCATTTTTAATGCGCACAGCGCGTTCAGTAAAATAAAAAGAAATAGATTCTGACACTATGGATTCAAGGAGAATACCATAGGGTTGAGCAAGTACCTGTATACAAACAAAAAGAAAAACTAATGCTTTGAGAAAAGATTAAGTAGACAGGATTCACAGTACCTTCTACATTTGGATAAATTAAAGAAATCAGTAAGCATTGAAATATTTAAAAAAACAACAGAAAAAACAACAACAATTAAGTGGTACACAATCAGTTTCAAATTTGAATCTTATTTAAATTCTTTAGGTTAGTTAGGCCATATTTCAAGAGTATGGATGCCATAGTGAGAAGGTGGGACTACAAGCCAAGGCCTATGACATATTTAAAAAATGATTGTTGGTGATGGTCAGTTCAAGAAACTTCAGTACTTTTACCCACATGCTACAAAGTACCACATAAATGTTCCAATCAGTCCATTTCAAAAAAGGAAACACTTAACCATTACAAAAATGAACAAAAAACTGTTCACAAATTCTTATACCTAGGAACACAATGGTTCCATGAGAAATGGAAGATGTGAAAGAACTCTAAACATATCAGTTCTACAACCCAGATGGGCTTAAATATCTATCATGCATTAGCATAATACATTATTTTGAAGCTAATCAGACTGTAGAATGAAGCCATACAGGACACAGCTAATCATTGAACACTGAATAAAGGCTAAATCACTTTCTGAATCAAAAGTTGCGCAAAATTTATATTTCAAACCCAGTTTTCAGCATGTTTTTTTCTCTAATACTGCACTTTGATCAGTCTACCAGCTGTATTACCTAATTAATTTTTCCCCTCTTACAAAAAATTTAATGAAAAAATAGAATACTGACATGTTTGTCATATTAATCAGAAACTGATACATATTCTATAATATTTAGCAAACTTTGTACTCTAAATTAGTTTTTGATTTTCTGACTAAGGCAAAGTGCTTTGTCAGCTAAACTGTTGTGAAAAAGCATGAGTTAACTCAATACTTACAAAAAATTGCACATGAGTGAAAAATTAGAATGACATAATAAGTTAAGCATGTTGCATGCACCCAAGTTCAAAATACAAAATTACTATAGAGAGGGAGTAACTGAATGAGATTTTAAGATCAGTAAAACTTGAATAAGCTAAAGTAAGATTGCCAAGTACAGGATTAGTTTACATTCTATTTTAATCAATAAGGTCTAGCTTCAGGGAGCGTAAGGAGAGATAACAGTCACTTGTTACACATCACTTCCTTTTCCTCTTCATTGGGAGAATGGTTTCACACAAGCTACATTTTACAAGCCTGACCGAGGCCACTAAACTGTTAAGGTTGGACACACTACCTGACTAAAAACAATACAAATTATTTCTTGTATTAATTAATATTACCTACAGCCTCTTCTGTAAAATAGAGGCAAGTAAAAAAGTGAAAAAGTATGCTCACATTTACAAAATGTTTGTAAGATGTCCCTTAAGTCTTTGATCATATTTACATGAACCATTAAGGTTGTCCTTCTGAATCTTCTGAATGTAATTTTACAGGGTTGTTTCGCAATGACAATACATTCTTTAATGCTACAAGGTGCGATACTAAACACACTGTATGGTTGTCAAGCACTTAAATAATGCGATTTATCTCTCTGCTCTCAATATTTGCAAATTGAAGAATACAATAAAAATAAATAAATAATTGGTGATTGAATTTTAATGGGAAAGTTGAGAAGAAAACACCTTTCTAAAATTTGGGGGAAAAGGGGGGGTAGTTTAGATAGATATTGAGGTAACATGGACCATTCAATTAATTAAGGGCACATCTTGGTTGCTTGACTAGTGATAGTTCAATGGATGGAATATTTCTGTTTCATCAAATAGCACTAATGGTAGTGTACTTAAAAATTCACAGATGCAAACAAAATTATTTGGAGATATTTTGTTTTAAAGTTAGACAGAAATCGCTCTTTACTCTTACATCCATTTTGTACCTACAGAGAACTAAAAAGTTTTACCTCCCTGATTGAGATCTGAAAGAGATAAATATTGCATACTGTTCACCCATATTTCAAACGCGATTTCTAACTTTTAACTGCAATAAAAGGAGCAGAAACATCACAATCAAAAGCTTAAGTCCAGTCATATGTATGCCCTAAATAATAAATAAATAAAACACTGGTAGGCACAGCCTGACCCATTTGCTGATAAATACAAATTTCTTAATCAAGAAAAAAGTCAATTTTGATCAACATAGAATTATCTATTTGACTCCAACTCAGTTGCCATGGGAAGAGTACTTCAACAAAACAGAAACAAACAAACAAACAAACTAAAGGTACTGTAAAGAAAACAGCCCAAGGGGTAACATATCTAATATTTTTCACATACAGAAAAGAAACACAACAAGCATGCGTGTTTCAAAAAAAAATTGAAATACAACTCTTGTGAAATATTTAAAAGAACACAGTTGGCTTTATTCTTGTACAGTAGCTTATGTGTTGAATGCTTTAAGTACACATACATTTACAATCATACATAAACACAATCACACAAACTCATACACACAGGCACTCAATACATAATAGTCAGAGAGGTAACATATTTTATAGGCATCTGTCCTTAACACATCTCTCACAAAATTCACACCCAGCATAAGAAAAGAAGATAAACAATTAAATTAATTGACAACTGGGGTAGGTGATTGTGTACAGGTAATAATAATATTAATTATAATAAAAGACTCTACAATCTGTGTCATCTCTCTTGGAAATTCCTAATATACATCTTTAAAATATTGCTAGTGAGACAGTCAAAAGAGACATGACTTCTTACATACATCCTGTCATCACATCACATAATAATGTACTTTAAACTAAAACAACAGAGATCTGGTATGAATTTTCCGACCTGCGTACTTCTTCTATTTAAATAGATCATTTTGTAATTATTTATACAATGTAGATCATGATTGAACACCCAGACAAATCGCAAACAGTAGACAAATAGTCAGTCAGTCAGTTAGTTATGAAGTCTGAGAGAAATAAACAGAAGAAACCAGGCAATGTGGCAGTAAAAGGTTCCAGCATACAAAACAGACAATTTTTTTTGTTTTGCTTTAAAAAATGAGTTACAGGAAGTTACCTTGTCACATCTTAAAAGTGCAATTTACCCCACTAAACCAGACTAATTCAAACTTTTAATTTTCACAAAGCATCATACTAAATTCTATACACAAAAGAGGACAACACCGGAAATTATGGTAGATGCATAAAACTGAATAAGTTTTAAAGCGGTGCGGTATAGAAATAGCCACACAAGAATAGGCATCTTAAAATATATAATTACTAGTCAAAGGTGTGAGGAATAGATGCACCCACATCACACTAATGTGTTTTTGCAGTTATGTACACCACATATAAAATGTATCAATCAAAATTACAATTATTACAAATATTTACCATACAATGGGTTCTTGACTCTCAGACAACATTTAGTAACAAACCATACATGTTTTCTGGTTCACAAAAAATTACATTTGGAACAACACAACACAGGGCTTAATGAAGTTTTTCATGTTTCCTAAATAACCTCATAGGGATTGCAAATGAAATGCTACATTTTGACTCACTATAAGACAGCAAAGCACAGCACAGCACAGTCTTGCAGCTGTCACAGTCTCTTCGTTTCTGTTTCCCTCACCATATTAAATGGATTTACTTAATGCACTTGAATCTCCTCATTTGTTGTTTAAGTCAAAAATTTATAGTACACCTACAAAAGTTTTAAGTCAGCATAGTTGTAAAATATAAGATAGATAAATAATAAAAATGAAATAAGAGCAATTTTTACCTCAGAGCTCCAAAGATGTCCCTAAAGCATGCTCTGTCATGCTCAGACACAATGATTCCAACCGAGAGTTGATGGGATCATAATCAGTATTTGTTGGTGGCAGTGTTGATGGAAGGCTTGTGGGTGGAAGAGTTGTGTCAGGTGAGACAAGTTGCTGACAAGGTTTGTGAGGGGCTGACCGAGTTCTTGTTAGCTGAGAATGGCCTTCAAGGGGCTAAATAAAACAAAACAAGAACAGTAGTTTTGAATGAAGAACTGGAAGCAATGAAGCATAGCTAAGGTACTAACTGAAACAGTAAGGGTAATGTTACCAACCTCCATGAGAAGTGGGTCCTGGAGACTTGGGCGCTTTGCCATGAATTCAGAGATTCCTCCAAGCTGAGGACTTCCAATAACAGCTAAACTATTGCGATGCTGTTGTTGAGATGGAGCCAAACTTTGGAATAGACTCGCAAAAGTTGCTGCTCGCTGCTGAGCAGTTTGCTGCTGATGCTGATTTGCTTGCTGCTGTAATTGCTGTGATTGAGAGGTTGGACACCCTTGACCAATAATGCCCTGAAATCGTGCATTGGCTGTAGGGTGGGAGCCAACGGAAAATGTTTGAGAATGAGGGTTGTGCCACCTGAAAGTAATAACAAAGGAATGCTGGAGTTAAAATCTTTGTGGGCACTTATTAGAGTAGGTTTTATCTTTAACAGAATAAAACAGATATTAAGTTATTTATTTAACTTACTTGTATCTATTGTGCAGGTGACGCTGGGGAGATGGACGCCACACATGCTGCAGCTGCATTTTCCAGCAGCCAAGTCGTTGCTTATGTATCGCACTAAAAGCTTCATGTTGCAGACATCGATCTAGTAGCCAGACAAAGTCACTTAACAGCTTTTCCTCAGCACGTCCTGATACAAGTAGTTGAGTGCACACTGGAAATAAAAACATAGGTAATGATAAAGGATAAAAAAACAACTATAAGTATTTATGTAGTTATGTATACGTATCAAGAAATTTCACTTTACCTTTTCCCATTACTTTAGTGAACTGTTCTGGAATATCTTCAACACTGGTGTCCTTGTCTTTCTCATCAACTGCTTTGATGGGTGAACACAAAACTGCTCTTAAGTCATCCATTGCTTGAGATAAACTAGCTCCAGCTACAACATCCCGTTCCAACTGACAGAGTGTGTGATAACGCTCACGTAGTTTGCGAACACTAAGAACAATTTTGTGTCTAGCTCCCTTCGTAACTCCAAGGGCAGAAAGTTTCTCTTCAGTGAGGTTCAACATTTCCTCATAACTGAGTTGAGAAAATAACCAAGCATATTTGTGTAATCGCAAGGATTTTAGCCAGGATGGTATATCTGGGAAATAGATCGTAATTAATTATTTGTGGTAGGAAAAAGAAAGAGTGGGTATAAAATAGGTATAGGTTTAAGAATTAAAAAATATCAACCAAGATATCAACTACTCACCTCGCATGCCACAGCTGTCACTGCTAAATTGCAGCCGGAGATCATCTAAATGTGACTCTGAGCCACTGCCCGAAGAAGCTTGAGAGCTTTGCGGAGATAATGGAGGCCCAGACTCAGAAGAGAGTGAGAAACTGCGAGCTTTTTGTCGTCCAGAAAGGTCATCCTATTGAAAGAGGAGTTAAGATAATTTGGTAAACTTCAACTGATTCAGTAAGACTACATCATTTTTTTTAGCAACAAACAAATGTAATTACCTGTGAGCTCCATAGCTCTACACTATGAGCAATGCTCACAGGTGGTGTAAGGCTGTTGCTGCGTCTGACTCTAGGTTGGCTACCATTCGTGTAATTTCCCACTCCACCTGAAAATCAAACCAAGAAAGTGTGTAAAGTAAAATTTAATTAAACGGGAAAATTATAAATTTAGATTAACTTTTGACAATAACCTTGATTCTGTGAGTTTGGCTGGAATTGCAAATGTGAATGTCCATTGTTAGAAATAGTCAAACCAGGGCGTGTCTGCTGGTTCTGTGGCTGGGATGGTTGTTGTCCCTGCGGCTGCGGTGGCTGCTGCTGAGTCTACAATTATTAAAAAAATAGTAACAAAATAAAAATATATTCATGGAATACTAGGCTATTCAGTGCAAAATTTTCTGGTAGATAGACGAACTAATGCAAGATCAACATACTGGAGAGGAGTCAGCTGTGATAGGTGTATTTGCACCCATTCCCCCATTAGTGATACGCTCTTCCATCATTTTAAGCCATGGATTTAATGTCCTACAAAGAAAATTCAACAATAAAACAAATGTCAAAAAACAGGGCAGTTTTTTAAAAATTATGTGATGAGAGCCCATACCTTTTGTCATCATTAGAAAGAGCAGGGTGAATTAGCGAGTAGGAAAGTAACTGTCTAGCTTCCTCTAAGTGTGCCCCTGTTTCAGTGGCATGACTCAAGACACGTGGAATAACAGCAATGTATCGTGATCTAGCTTCATTGTTTCCAGGGCGGAGGAGTGGGAGATGTTGAAGGAGCTGGCTCATGGCAATTTCTGCACTCTCTGTCAATAAGCTACTCACAAAACCTATAGGCAAACAAATATCATTAGTTTACTCTGTAATTTTAGTTGAGACTCAAAAGAAGTTACAGACAACAAATTCTAACACACCAGGGTTATTGGCTTGTTGTTCTGCCACTTGAAGTTCAACACAATTCTCAAGTGACTGGTCCATTGCTAAAGTAAGGAAACGAGCTTGTGCTGGGGCCAATCTTTTCAACAAAGAATATAGAGCGACAATTTGCTCGCATTCTGACAAGGTTTCGAACCATGCTGATACAGCAGCCAAATGCTCGCGATACATTTTTGTATTCTGCCTTACAGTCTATATCAGTAAAACCTCTATCCTAACTCAGAGCACTCATTTTTTCCTGCAACATAAGAACAAAAAATCAAAGATCAATGTTTACATGGGAGCTCATGAAGAGTGGATGAATAGAACAAACGTAGCTAAATAGTTACATTACAACAATCTTAAATGAGTCCAATGTATGATTTAAGGGCAATTCAAAAAAAAAAATACAAAAAAAATAATATATATATATCACATAACTGTATGAATATGAATCTAATATGCAGTAAAGGTCAAGAGTATTGTAATAAGTCGTTTACATATTTTTTCAGTGAGGTCAAATTTAAGAAATGCTGATTTCTTGATACATAGGATGTAAACAAAGTGCTACACTGTCACAAAACAATCACTTAATTTTTCCATAACCAGAGAATAAAAATAGATGCAGTTTTTAAATCTAGTAATAGTGGAAGTGAGATCAAATGTAATCATTATAAAATAAGCTTACAACCGAAAATAAATTGGAAATGCCAAGATAGATGGTCACTTTGTGTTGTGTCAAGACAAGACAGCCGGGTCCCCGAGGGCTTCCCAAGCCTGGTATAGAAGCTCTTTGTTGTGAAAATGTTTGTTGGGCGGAATTGACTGAACAGAAATACTTCTTCAGCCGGGAATGTTGTCAAATTAAACGACCTTTTTGATTCAACAGACACCGAGCACATTAAAACTTAATAGAGCTAGACCTTTTTATATTGAATGAAAAACAAAAAAACAACAAACACAGCCGGAATCAGCGGTAGCAGAATAACGCCCAAACAACTTACATTCTAACGATATATCTTGATGCACTAAACGACTTTATAGGCATATCCCATTTTATCTAAAATATCGGACATAACTGTACACAAGACTAAGAAACAATAATACATGTACCGATGAATGTTCAGAAGATAAAATAACGATACTTGTGACCTTGCCTGATAGGCTTACGGCGGAACTCCAATCACGGAAAAAGATACAATACAGTTCTCTAAGTTTCAACTTTTAATAAAGAATAATTACGTACAAAAAACGGTGACTGATCTTGGTCCAAAAAGCTCTTTTTCGTGCATTTGAAAGGTAAATTTCACAAAAGCAAAAGCCGTCAAAAGAGCCTCTGCACAGACATGACAACAAAATAAACACTTGCAAAATGACGTCATAGCTCGTACTTGCTTGACTTCATTTTGACCATCAAGCCCTCTACATAACTGCAATCGCCTACGACGGATTCAGAAAAAAATCGGTATGATTTTTAGGGCCATACATTTTACTCATTCTGCTATTTTAAAAAAGAAATAGTAATTCTTCGAAAAATTAAATGTTACGGTAGCAGAAAAACAGTTTCTGACAACAATGTCCACGCTTAACAGCTATTTTGTTTAATTAAAAATAATTCATCTACTCTTGATGGTCAGTTTTCACTAACATATTAGTTTTATATTAGCAGTGTATTGAATTTAATTGTAACTTGCAAAAATGTTAGAGGAAAAGGACTGCTTGTAAGCATCTGAGTTTCAATGACAAGGTTGGTAAGCGTTGTAGCATGTGTTTTCTGTTTACACTAACAATGGTTTGAAAACGGAAACCTTCTTTCGTTAAAAATACCTTGTTCCTTGTAAACAAAAAAAAGCTTTTTCATTATCTGTGTGTTTATTCTTAATATTCCTCTATTAAGATTGTTTAGGAGAGTATTATGAGGATCGTCGGCTACGTTTGTGATAGCTCTTTGAACAAACAGTTAGACAAGATTGAACAGATAGCTGGGCGAGTAAGTTTCAGCTTGTTTCAAAGTTTGAGCAGAATATCTCATTACTATGTAAAGGATTTTTAATGCTGTATGAATAATTGATGATTGTTCTCCAATCATTGTTTCAGTGTTCGCTTGTAAATCATCTTGTGTATGCGTACAAACTGAATACAAAGCTGTCAGTTCTGAAAAGCGCCCCAGCAACAGATGAGGAAATACTATCCTTCCATTCCACTGATTTCATTCAACGTTTGAAAGATGCAAATGATGTTACTGATATTGAGAAATATGAAGATAGCCTCGAGGAGTACGGCCTTGGTAACTATCCAAACGTGTAGATTGTTTCCACCCCTCCCACTCTTACTTACTTTCCTGTCCATTGCAGGCTATGATTGCCCACTATTCCTTGGAATTTATGATTTCGTTAGAGCTATCGTTGGTAGTTCTATAGTAGCTGCTCGTTCTCTTATTTCTGGTTCAAACAATATTGCTATTAATTGGTATGGAGGCTGGCATCATGCTCAAAGGTACATACCTTTTTTATTTCCCTTTGAAATACTGTAAGTTTTGTTTGGAATGGTAACATATATGTTCTATATATTTTATATGACATCAGGGAGGAAGCCAAAGGATTTTGCTATGCAAATGATATTGTGTGTGCCATCAACACCCTCAGACAGCACTTTACGAGAGTACTCTACATTGATTTAGATATTCATCATGGTGGGTGATGTCAAGTAAACGTCTATCATATATATTACGCTAGATTGATGATATATTGTGGATGACTGCCATACATGCAATGTAGCAGGTCATATATTTCTTTGCGTTTTCTGTATCCGTGTGAGTTTTGCACATAAATTTAATTTTCAGGTGATGGTGTTGAAAATGCCTTTGCATTCTCAAGAAATGTTCTCACATTTTCTTTACATAAATACGAAGCAGGCTTTTACCCTGGATCAGGTGCAATCACAGATGTTGGTAGAGGAAACGGAAGGTTTTACTCTGTCAATGTACCTCTCCACGATGGGATTAGGGATGAACCGTACTTCAAAATATTTGACAGGTAGCATTCAAAGCTAACAATAAAAAAAGTACCTTGTGGAAGAGATCACTGTCTAATTGTGCTTGAAATTGTTACTTTTGTCTAGAGTATCTTCAAGTATACACACAGCTTTTCAGCCAGACGCCATAGTTGTTCAGTGTGGATGTGACAGTTTATGTGGCGATCCGCTTGGCACTTTCAATCTTACTCTGAAAGGCATGGGGCAATGTGTGAGAAGAATATTGTCCTGGGAGAAACCCACTCTTTTTCTTGGTGGAGGTTAGTAACCGTCAAGTTTGTTAACAACATTCAGTTAACTTTGAATACAGATCTAAGTTTGAGTTTCAGGTGGTTACAATATTACAAATGCAGCAAGATGTTGGACATACATAACATCTTTAATTTTAAACTGCAACCTTTCTTCTGAAATTCCTGACAATCATGTAAGTACAGAAAAAATGGCGTTACTTGCAAGAATTGTACAGGAATTAATGGAGACCCTTCTGATTTGAATTAGTTCTTTGAAAAGTATGGACCTGGTTTTGAACTCGACATAATGCAAGGCAACAGACCAGATCATAATACTGAACAGTATATTGAAAGCTGTATTAAAACTATCACAGGTAAGATTCAAAATATTTTGACAACTGACATTAGTTTCTAATGTACATTGCTGAAGCAGTAATAAAATTATTGCAGGTAACATAGCCAATATTAGAAAGCCATGTTGGACCTAACTTAACTGCAGCTATATGAAACTTTCTACATTGTAAGTATAACAACAGCAATCACACAAAATGACTTGTGTTGTATATCACAGATGTTACTATTAATCAACAAGAAGTTCCCTTGACTCATTAATACTAAATTGTACAAAGAAATTAGGCACTAATGTGTTTATGCACAAACTACAGTTAAATACATTATGGCATATCAGATTGATTATTACATGGTGGCAGTGCTACACAGCTTCATCTTAGTGAAAATTCATAAGCCTCCTGTGTATAATATCCCCCCCTCCCCCCAAATTAATTTTTTTAAAGCTTACTGCCTATTATCTATTACTTGCTGACTGTGAGCTAACAACAGATCTAATATCAGAGTCTTGTACATTTTCAGCATGCTTGAGATATTCTGATGATTTGTAGAAACCATTGATGTTTAACATCAGGAGATACTCGGCAAGGTGTTGCTGTTGATTTGGTGGAGATATAAGTCTTTCCAAATAACTTACGAACTTGCACACTTGTAACTGTAAATAAGATAGAAATTAATATATTTTCTCCAACCAAGACATTGCAAAGAGATCAGTAATCTTACCTTGAAGTGTACCACACATGCACTTAATTGTTGAAAGTTAGGATGCTCTAAATGACAAGTATGTCCTCGTTGACTTTGGTTTTTGCTTGGTACTTGCCAAGGTCTAACTCTTAAGAAACTATGAAATTTAATAATACAGACAAGGATTTTTGATAGCACAGCTTCCACTCGTTTGGAATTATTGTTCAAAAGGCACCTGTTGTCACAAAAGCAAATTAAAAATTCTGATCTCACTACGTAAATATATATCAAAACGCAAAATTTTATCATCCAACCTTTTAAGAAGTCTCTTGATGTATTCTATATGTGCATTGTAAATATGATCAATAGTAGTCGCTTGCTTAAGGGATGCAGCAAAATCAGACCAGCTAGCATGCAGCACACAGCTGCTTACATAGTTCAGTGTTGCTTGTACAAATTGACTCATGTGATGACGAATTATTTGAACCTGGAAAGAAAAAAATAATAGTCATGTTTAATTATGGCAAGATCCTACCACCATAATTTTGAACGGAAATAAGAATGATTACCTGATGATACTGGGGCGAATTAAGTAAATCTCTTGTTTGTTCTTTAAAACAACCTCGAGCAGTGTTTTTCAGAGCAACAAAGTCTTCTTGTAAAAGCCATGCAATACGTTTCAAGCGTACAAGGAACAGAAAAATCTAAAACATAAAATTGATCAAGATTAAATTAAATACTAATCGACTGAAGTTGTAAGTAAATTTTCATTTAGGATACATACAACATTATACTTCTCAAGAACATCAGGAGTCAACAGTAAATTCAAGGGCCATTTGACTTTGTAAGAGAGTGTCAAACAATCGAGTACATTATGTGATGAATGTGAGAAATGACGAGGAACAGAGTCACAATCCAAAGCAAGTCTATTAGAATTTGGATCTGCTGTGCCTTGAGAACTTGCCAGAGCCTCCTTTACCACTCTATTTAGGGTAGGTGTGTTGAACAATTTATCAGGTGTTGCAACCTAAGAGTTTTATGAATAAATTCGAATTTGCACTGCATAATATTTACAAAAAGTCTTGCCAAAATCATACCTGATACATTTGAGTGAAAAGTTTCACTGTGAGGTGACGACCAAATTCTCCATCTTGCATAAGATAATAAGACCGTAAGCTTTTTAAATGGCTAAGGAGTTTCAAGTCCACTAAAAAATAATCTAGAAGTGCTGCAGAAACAAATTTGTACTGAACTCTCAAGGGAAGGAGAAGGCATGTCTGCAGAGATGAGTCCAACCATGATGTGTTTGGGAGTGATTTAGCAGTATCAGAACTGTACTTTTCCCCCTCAAAATCAGTAACATCTGAAAAGTTTGAACAAGTAGAACTATGTTACTTGATTTGTTACAGATATTTAATATTTTATGAATTGATAGGAAGATGGATACATACCAGTACTCATTGAGCTTGTACTGCATTTCAAAGTGAGGTTGTCTGCTATGTCTATCATGAGAGGGATTCCATGAACTTCAAAGTCAGTTGCTTTCTCACATCGGAACTCAACTAGGGGACTAGCTAAAGGTAATCCATTAGGTAAATTATCGGTACCTTTGAATGGACTAGTAAACACTGGCATGTTAATAACACCATGTGGTGTGCTGAGAGGAGACACTGAAGGAACCTCTGATGACACAGATAACATTTTTGGTCTTACGGATTCAGAGGGAGAAATCTTATCAACCTCGCAAAGTTTATCTTCTTCCTTGATGTTACAGCTTAAACTAGATTGAGAATTAGTATCATCAGTAGTAGAAAGTAGAGTTCCTACCCCAGAGTCCCCAAGAACTTTTCTCCTATTTACTTGTAGTTCACTCATATCGGATGAGTAAGCAAGTTTTGGACGGCTTTCGGTAGTTAATGTGCGAGTCACACTTGGATTAGAAAGCTGTAGTTCTGTCATAAAATCAGCATCTTCTCCAAGAATTTTCTGCCTGTTCTGGTCTCTTTCTAATATTATTCCAGAATCTGTACTTTCTTTCTTTTTAATTGATGTGAACTTCCAACAATCATCTTCTGTCAATACTCTCTGACGATTTTTCATAAGGTCAGTTAATTTGTCCGCCGCATCCAAGGGTTTAGTATCTCCTTTGTCAGACTCATAGCTGAATACACTATTAGCTTCTTTTAATTTAGGCTGGGAGCAGCTCCTGTTCACATTAAGTGACTCTGCAGAGTCCTTATCTGCATGGCTAACTGAGGCAGCAGCATTGGTCAAACTACACAATTCATTGGAATTCAATCTTGACTGTCTTGAATCCAAACCATACTCAATCTGTAATACTTTAGCTTTTATTTCAGATGCTTTCTTAAATAACTCAATGGGCTCTCTTGTTTTAATAGTAGTTTCCACTTCATTATTTGTGTTTATTGTTGATGCATCAACATTATTTTCCTCTTCAACTTTAGTTTTAATTGATAATGGTTCAAACATACTTTCCTCTTCAATATTAGTGTCTTTTGTCAATGCTGTAGTCCTAGCTTGTAAAGCATCTACCTGAGGAATCAACGGAGCTGGTAGCTCACAAACAGATAAATCAAAATCTAGGATGAAACCAGATTGATTGGCTTTCTCATACAGCTGATAGTCTCGCGAGAGATTCATACTATCTTCCAGCAGGAATTCTTGTCGCTTGTCAGCCATCTTTAAACGCTTTATTTGCCACTCTCGGTGGTTATTTTGTTTATCAATAATTTTCCCTAACTCTTCATAGTGTGTTAATATTTTCTTTCTAAAAATAAAAAAAGGCAATTATAATTTTTAAAAGTTTCAAATCAGATTAGAAATTACTTATTTTGCAAACAATGCTATCAGTCACACCACACTGTACCTTTCTTCTTCCTCCATCACTCTAGCAGCAAAATCTTGGCGTTGACATTCCAAAAGATATAATTCATCTTTTATTCGCTCCTGCTCCTTTTCTGTAGCTTTACGTAGTTGCATTTCAATTATCTGAGCTCGCAGAACAGCATTTTGCTTTTCTTTCATTTCAGCCCTTTCCTTATCAAGTTGAATTTTCATGGATTCACGTAAAATAGCTCTTTCTTTTTGTGCCTTGGTCATCTGTAATATTCATATGGAAAGTTGGTTTCAATGAGACTGGCCAATTTTACCTTATTATTTTAGTACAGTAGGTACTTTTCTGGTTGCCTTACCAAAATATGCAACTTGGATTCAAGTTCCTTTTCTTCTTCCAACAACTTTGAAACATTTGTCAAATTTCCACATAAGTCATTAGCTTCGGCCTCAAACTGAGCACATTCTTTGTCAACCCTCTCCATATCTGACCTTTTCAATTTCAATTAATTTTTAATATTAAGAAGCAAAAACGAGATTTGTGAATGGTCTCTTTTAGGGGTCAAAATGCAGCAGTGCTGATACTTACTTATACAAGCAACAGCGTACACTGGGATGTCTTTTTTCCAGTAACAAACATAATGGATGCTGGGGACTGCACAATTGTAAGAGATTCATTGCTCTACCACAATCAAAAACTGCTACTTCTAATCCCTGCAAGAAAACTGGTACAGTTTTCTTATCCAACACAAATCCACGAATCCAAAAAGATCTGTCACGTTTGCTTGAAAAAACTGGGTCTTTGTGAACAAAAAATTCATTGGATTCCTCTGTTTTGTCTGGACATTCTCCCAAAAAGATCCATTTCTGAAGACACTGTAAATAAACCTGTAGCACCAAGATAAAAACAAAATTAAGCAAAACAGACTTTTTGTAGTTCAAAACGGCATTTATCATGCCCATGGATGCACATGGTGCATAGGTAAAACTGAATATTGACCATAAAAAGACCAGATTAACACATCTGTGGACTTTTAATTTAGTATGTACCTCACAACAAGCTTTCAGAGCAGAGTACAGTAGATGACTTTGTTGACTGTTTGGTTTGCATGCTTCTCTGTATATGTGGGCTAACAATGCAACACCAGAGGGCAACTGTAGGCTGCTGCCCGAGAAGCTATTAGTGCAACACAAAGTTGAGAGGCAATCAACCTAATGACAGAAAAACAGACGTAAAAAGTAAACAACTAAAATTTTAGAACTAAATCTATAGATAAAGGCAGACAAACATAAAATTCAGTTACCTGTTGCTTGAGAGCCTGCACATATTCTAATACCTCATACAATAATATGGGCTGTCCCTTAGATTTAAAATGAGAAGAAAGAATCATGACAGCACCATGGTAAAATTGGGTCCAGCGTTGAACACAGCCCATTAAGGACTGTACAATTAATCCATTACTCTCCTAAAAATGAAAGAAAAACATGCATGAGACTAAACAACTAAAACCTAGATAAAAACTATGAAGATAAGTGAGGAATTATTACAGCTGTATCAGAAGAATGAGAAAGTTTTTCAAGACGTCTAAAGTGTGTACCACAAAATATGAAATCTTGGCATAGTGCTGAAGTATCATCCACACAGTAACCTTCTAACCATATCCCACTTCGCAAAATAAAACAGTCTTTTTCCTGTAAGAAATAAGGTATATTAGTGCTGAAGCATCTTAGTACAGCAAAGAACAAAAATGTGTGCATTTCAAAGTTATATCCAACCTCAACAAAAGGAAAGGTTTTTGACTGAATGCCACTGAGAAGGAGAAAAATGTCATGAGCAAAATCATCTCGTGAAATTGGTTCATTATCACATGAATGTTTAGGGTTGAACACATCTTGGAACACATTGACTAAAGTAGACAAATGATGTAGTGCGTCTGACTTAGCAGCAGACAAAAAAGGTGGCTCAACTGGAGTGAGTAGACTTCCCAGTGTTTCCCATGACTTCAACTCTGGTAAAGAAACTTGTAATGCCTCAGACCAAACTTTAGTGCAATCCTCATCTGCAAAAAAAATGAATCACCAAAGTGCAAAGTGTTGGTGGTTTGATTCGATAATGCTATCCATTACTGTACTAAGTAGTAAAGCTCACTTAAGGGACTACGACTGAACTATGAATTGCTTGTTTTACACGGTGTCAAATTGTAAAATCTATGAAACCAGTGCTGATACATACATTCAAACTGTGATGAAATGTGATTTTGGTGGGCAACCTCAGTCAGCGGAGTGAAATAACCTTCATCTTCAAAATTTGACTGAACCATACTAGAAGGTAGAGTTAGATCTGGAGGTCCAGTTAAGGCTGGTATGGATCGAATTTGATAAAGAGGTTGTGATCCCCTAAAAACATACAGCAATTAATGTTAAATGCAGTATTATCAAACTAATAATGGGTGCAAATTTTAAAAAAACAATAAAGCTTATTACATTTCTGATAGTGCCTGATGCGCACCTCCAAACATTTCTAGGAGAGGCAGGCCCTCCCCAGGTTTTTTATTGAATGGAAATGTAGTTAAAGTATAACTACCAAATGGGGAAACACTGTGGTTGAGACTCATCCAAGGGGGAGGCTTGAACAAATCAGGGGAGGGAGAAGGATATATCCTAGGGGTGGATCTTACATATTTAGTTCCTGGAAATGTAACATAAATGACAAATCAAAAGCATTCAAATACCTATATTGTGTTAAAGAAAAAAAGACATGGAGCAAACATTAATTATCATACCCCCGAAAGAGCTTGTTAGTTGTAGTTTGTGTGAAAGAGAAAATGGCTCGTATGTGGGAGATTTATGAGAATTTTGCACTGATGAATTTGTAAGACATATTAATGTCTTGAGGATTGGATGAGGTGTATCATCCCATCCAAAATTTAAAGCCTGGCAACAAAAAAAAGGTTAGTAAAAAAGGTTTTACTTTGTAGAGAACAAAATATCAACTTATAAGAACTTTCAACTTGCCTCTTTTATAGCATCATCAAGCTCCATTGATTCCACTTCTTGATCTGTGCTACTCATGATAAACCTCTGAGCAACTAGCCATGATGTAGGACTCATATAATTGAGTTTGTTTGATAAAGCCGATACCTCTATAGATTACAATTGACACAAGATAAGTTTATCATACATTTCAGACAGGGAAGCTAGAAAAATGTTGTCTAGCCTAAGGAAACCTTTACCTGAGACATCAGTCTTTCCTAAGAGGATTCCATACATTAATGATCGTGCTTTATTAACAGTCTTGAGGAGGTTTTTACCAGTCAAAGACGGGTTGTTCTCTTTCACAATGATTTCACTCAGTGTGTTGAGCAAGCCAAAAACACCAATGTTGTCATTGATTTGCTCCATTTTAAGAGTAAACATAATCCCATCAATATAAATATATAGATATATGTGTTAAGTGAGGAACACTGCAATTCAAAATTATTTTGTGCAAAACATAACCAAAGCAAATTGTATGATGCACACAAAATACTGAAACAACAAACGCAAGCTGAACACTATGCAGTATTTCGCAATACTACTTCATTCTGATTTGACTCATTGGCCAGCTACACTTGTCATTTACAAAGTTCACCACAAATACCACAAGAGACAGAGTACTCAAAGTTTCTTTTTTGTTATTGGGCATTTGAGCGCGCCTTTTGGAATTGAAATGTTTAGCTGAGCTGTGAATAATGTCGTGATGTTTATTCACAGGCCGTGTCAAACTGGCTGTGCAAATCGTGCAAATGGACTCTACTTACTACGTGGCTAGTGAATGAAAATGGACTATACTCTATACTTACAGGGAATGCACATGTTTATCCTATCCAGGCATGGTAGGCTATCGGCATCTCTCCCTCTCGAGACAAAATAGGTGAACGAACTTCTCGTTTTGTGGCAGCAACCTTGCTATCGATGGAAGGACTTGACTTATGACCAAAGCCGTGGGCAAAAGCCGGTTCCTCAACGTGACATCGCAAGTGAGGTCATGTAATGATTTGGTCATTTTTTGATGGCCTGATTCGACATTATTTTGAAATCAAATGACTATTTGACGTCGAAGCAAGCCACCAAAATGTGCTCTCTGGGGAAATCCCTGTGAGAAATGAAGATTCTGAAGGTGTCATACTCATGTCGCGTCGAATTCATAAAGTACTTTGGTTTTAAGTTTGATTTTTAAGTTTGATTCACTCCAAACCAACTTACTTTTTTGTCTCCGTACTCCCTATATACTTCCCCGTCTACCCACAAACACCCTCGACAAGTTTCTCAAAAACGCCATTTTATAATGTAATCTTGAAAGCTTTTTATTTTTTTTATTTTTAGCGACTAAGGAGCAGCGTGTGTTAGCGGCACGAGGCCGTGCAATGGCCACACCGATGGACACCGATCACCGTATCGAATAGTACCACGACGGGACGCATTTCTGGACGAGTGGAGGATGACAAAGAGTGAGGGTGGGGGCAGGTCTCGCGGCTCTCGCTCAGGTGGGAAGGACACCCTTCGGCCTCTCGGCCCTCTTGGAGCGGTATAAAAGATGGGGCTGCAGGGTTGAATGGACACAGACCCGGCCCAGCTCTCCTCGGCAGCTGCTCCTCCTCGCCAAGTCTTCACAGGAGCCGACATGAATCCCTTCCTCGTAAGTACCATGACTTTCAGCCTGCGGCGCAAGCTGAGACCCCTGTGATTTACCTGCGACATTTGTTTCACGCGCGTTGCAGGCCCTCTTTCCGCTGTGCTTCCTGCTGCTGGCGGTGGAGTCCCAGAGGCAGGACAGTCCTGGTGCGGTCCAGGCACCTGCCCGAACGGCCGAGCCAGAGCGGGCGAACAAGAAGGACAAGCGAGGCCTGTTCGGCGCCGTGGTCGGCTACGAGCCCTATGCGCCCCACGCGGCGCTGCCCGCGGTGCCCGTCGCCTACGGAGCCGTGGACGCCTACGGAGCGTACGGCACGTACGGCACGTCCCCCTACGCGTACGGACCCTACAAGACTGCGGTGGCTGCGCCGTATGCAACGCCCATCGGCAAGGTGAGTCTGGCACCAATCGGCGAGCGAAGTGTACCGTAGTGCAACCGCGCGCCTGGAGGGTAGGCAGCCCATCTAACGCCTGCCTTTATCGATTCAGGTGGCCTATGCTCCGTTTGCGGTGCCTGCATACGGTGCCTACGCAGACGGCGCCTACCCCAAACAGGTCGCCGGATACGCTCCAGCCACGTACGGCGCTCCATACGCCCCGTACGGCTACGTTGCAGAGGCCTACCCTGCTCAGTATGGGGTGCCTTACGGCGCGGTGCCTGCTGCTCACGGGGCCTACGCTTATTGAGCAGAGTCCGGAGGAATGCAGACCAGCTGATTGAGACATCCCGAAGGCCTGTTCGTCTGTCTGCACCGTCTTTGTTTTTAATTTTAATGTTGAATTATTTATTTATTTCGATGCGATTTGGGTGAGGAAGAATAAACCCGACTACTTTAAATGCATCTCTCGACTTTTAATACTGAGTAATCATAAAACACTTAAATTAGCGACCCACTCGGGGGTTTTAGCTGGATGCCGCGATCGTCTGGAGGACCGCGTCCACGGCGCGGGGGAAGTCCTCGCACACAAACGCGGGAGGAGGGTCTATCTTCTTTTCGTCTCCCTCGCGGTACTTCCCCGTCCGGACCAGGATGCCCCGCATCCCAATGGATTGCGCGCCCGCCACGTCGTCGTTGACGTCCTGAAACGCGACAGAAGACGCGCGATAATCGAGGCTGCCCACACGGACGGGATCGAAGGGAAGGCCAATACACACTCACGTCTCCTATCATGATGGCGGCCTCGGGCTCGACGCCGTCCAGCGCCGCCCGGTAGAAGTCCGCCGAGGGCTTGCCCACGGTGTGCGCCTGCACGCCGGCCGAGTACTCCAGCGCCTTGACGAAGGCCCCGGGCCCCAGCGCCAGCCCGTCCTTGCGCGCGAAGTAGCGGGCCTGGTGCACGGCGACCAGCCGCGCTCCGGGCCTCAGCAGCACCCTGCAACGGAAGTGTCCGGCTAGCGTCATCCCTCACTCCACGACCCACGGACCTCACGTGCTGGTCACAGAAGGTACTTGGAGTGTGTTCGAATTCTCTATTGTACCGAAAACTAGTGTCAAGAAGTGTCGACATATTGGAGAATTCGGACACACCCGGGGGGGGGGGGGGGGTTCAGGCTTCAGGCAGGGAAGTTAGGAACCAGGTAGGCAACCCCAATGCGCCCGTTCGCCCACCAGGCGCGGTTTTATATACCCGTCGGTCCTAGGGTAGGTGGGCGATTTGTCCTACAAAACCCCTGAAAGTAGGCAACCCACAGCAAATCGCCCCCTCCGTCGGACGGACTTAAAACCGCGCCTCTCGCCCACGTGGTCGACCCAGCAGGCTGTCGCGGTTGAGGGTGATAAGTAAGCTCTCATAAGGTCCGCGTGCCATTCTTGTCTCAAAATTGTCTCGGTGACAGACGTTGGCAGAAGCGAGCGAGGGACGGGGCGGGGCGCGCGATAGCGAGGCAGTCGCCTGTAATGAATTGGACCATCAGCAGAAATGATGAGGCCGGGCCCGGCCAGGCCAGGCCCCTCGCGCAGGGCAGGTTGAGATAAGGGAAGTACTGCGGGCGGCTGTTCTCGAGGGGTGAGAATGGCATAAGGGGTGGGTTCTTGATTTGTGCAGCAACATGCTAAGGGGGATGTTTTCTTGATGTGGGCAGGGGTGGGAGAAAACATACCTGAAGGCCTTTGTGAGGGTCTCATAGTTGAAGAGGTCTGGAGCAAGTCCAACTACAACAGAGTCTAGTTCTGCATCATCTGCAGGTCTGACGTCTTCAAACTCTTCCATTGCCGCATCATCAATGATAAGCATGGGTTTCAACTGCCACTTTTTTACGAGGTCATGGGCCGCAGACAAGGATGTAACAAAGTCTTCTTGTTTCACTGGAAATCCAAGCGTTGTCAGATTTTGAAATAGCCTTCGTTTTGATTCTTTTGTTGTATTTGTCACAAATTTAACTTGAAGCTGCGAATCTTGTAATCTGGAATCAAATAGATTGATCTCAAATTAATGGTAATGCTAATACGTGATGATGCTGCTTATGTCGGAGAGTGGAGTTCATTCATCTTACTGCAGCAGACTAGACTGTAAATAAAGACCCCCAGTCATAACCTACAAACACATCCTGATATACTTACTAATTCCTGACTTTTTAAAAAGGGACACTTTATCATGTAAATCATCCCTACATCTCCACAGAAACATTTTCCCTTTCTCATAAGTGAAGGTGATGCTGAATCATTTCTTTATAAAATACATTGTGTCGTCTGCACGGTCTATTTAATGACAAACAAATCAAAAATAGCGCTCTGCTTGCTCACCTACGTAAAGCTTCTTGTGCCCCTGGAACAGCTAATTCTTGGATGTGTAACGTCCCGCTTAAGTCTACCAAGACTGTCTTTAAGGGCAAGCGTCCGGCGACTGCCATTCTGAACTTGTTTAAATATTAGCCGAATTATTTTCTTTCCAGTGCGCGTACGCTCCGCTGCCCCTCCAGTCCCACAGCCCCACCGGCAAGATCTCCACTCTGCTCTCTGATTGGCCGGTCCACCAGACTGACTGCAGCTGCAACGAATAGCATTGCAGCAAAACTGCACGCTCCCTTCCATTCGCACTCTTTGATCAGCTGGTGAGGGGGAGGTGAGGCGGGGCAAATTTCGAATGGCTCAACAGCAAGACAGCTGCGCTAAGCCGCTCGCTCAGCCAGGGAGTGCCCCCCGGCGACCGGGCCGCCACGAGCACAAGACAAATTTAAAAGTGAACACGTGGAAAATTGTGTGTCCGCTATGCCCCACAGCAGCTCCCTCCCCCCACCCCACGCCCGCGTCGCGTTGCATCATCCACGCCACCCCAGCCAGCAGCTCCTGAAGCCCGAGCCGCCGACACGTTCGCCGGCAAGATCACCGTTAATAAGGGCTAGTTAAGGGTTGATTTGTCGACTAGGTCGCCCGTTGACAACCCGTGAGTATTTTTCGCAAGGGCTGCCAGCATTTGTTGCCCTGCGCACCATCACTAGTTTCATTCATGAAGAATTTATACTAGCTGCTCTTTCATAGTAGTGTAACAGGGTGTGAACAGCTGGTATGGTGTAGCATCTGGAGTTTTGTAGAACAAGTGACAATGACATTAATTATGATTTGTATCAACTAAATTTTTTAATCAGTATTTGGATATTTCTTGTACAATATGTCAGTAAGAAGTTGTAAAGTTATCAAATTTTACATGTTCCTGTTTTAACCTATCAATTGAATCTTTTCAGATACAATGTGTGGAATTTGGGCATTGTTTGGAATTGGAGTAGATGTTGCTGTTCACAGCAACTCTGTTTTCACCAAAATTATTCATAGAGGTCCTGATGCCTGGCGACTTGAGGCAGATTGCCGATTGGCTGTAAGTGCACTCTGATGAGAATTATTTAAAATTTATTTTCCCCCTTTCATTTTCAACATTTTATCTTAAGCACATCCATTGTGTGTCTGTTGCAGCACTCGTTTTTGGGTTTTCATCGCCTTAAGGTCGTTGATAGTGTCTATGGTATGCAGCCCATGAAGCTTCATTGTCTTCCAGATCTCACGTTGATGTGCAACGGAGAAATTTATAACTGCCATGAGGTATTTTGATATTTAAAACGGAAGTGCTAAAGGTGTTTATGAAAAAACTGTGAATATGTATCTTTCTATTATTCCCTATTTAGTTAGCAAAGAACTTTGGCTTCACTATGGAAACTCACTGTGATGTTGAACCCATCCTTCACCTCTTTGGGAAGGGGGGAATTGAAATGGCAACCAGCCATTTAGATGCAGAGTTTGCATTCTGTCTGGTTGATGCTGCAAAACAAAGAGTTTACATTGCTCGAGATCCTTTTGGAGTTCGACCTCTTTTCCGACTTTACTCTGAGAGTGGTGTCCTGGGTGTGTGCTCTGAGGCCAAAGGTACTTTCTTTATATTTCTAAAACAAACTGTCTTTTAAAACTGAAATATACATATTCTAAAATGTGAAAATTGGACACAACAGGTCTTGTAGGAATGAGTCAGCATCTGAATGGTTCAAAGTTTACATTAGAACCCTTTCCTCCTGGAACATTTGAGGAGTATTCTATTGATAAAGAGGGAAGAGCCAAACTTGTAAGAAGAGAGCGTTTCTATGAAATTGGAGGCCCTGAAAGACCCAAATTTAAGCCTTTTGTGCCCTATGATAGTAAGGCTTTTTAACAAAATCTATTTACTTTGGAAGTACCACTGATTTTTTCAAGAGAATAATAATATCATCTTAGTGAACATATTATTTTCTGTTTTTTCCAGAACTTACAGATGATGTTCATTCTAACATCCGCACACTCCTGACATCTGCTGTTCAGAAGCGATTGATGGCAGATCGGCGAATTGGGTGCTTACTTTCTGGTGGTCTTGATTCAAGTCTCATTGCTGCTTTGCTGGTAAAACTGGCTAAAGAAGCTAATTTGCCATATCCCATTCAGGTAATGTCTCAATGCTGGAAAAGTCTGAGAAACTCATTAAATGTGAGAATAATTAAATTCATATTGTTTCTATTGTTGTCTGTTAGACATTCTCCATTGGTATGGGTGATAGTCCAGATGTTCTTGCTGCCCGTCAAGTTGCTAAACATATTGGATCAGAGCACCACGAAATCATTTTTACTGAAGAGGATGTTGTAAAAGTTCTTGATGAAGTCATTTGTACTTTAGAAACTTATGATATCACAACTATTCGTGCATCTGTGGGTATGGTCTCATTTCATTTCTCTTAATACCGGTGTCATACTGATTATTATTTATTGCAAATCATCGACGTAATCTTTTGATCCGTTTTGTTTTAAACCAGGAATGTACTTAATATCTCGAGCAATCAAACAGAAAACTGATACCACAGTAATTTTAAGTGGAGAGGGTGCTGATGAATTGGCTCAAGGCTATATTTATTTCCGTGATGCACCCTCTACAGCAGAAGCCCGTGCTGAAAGCTTACGCCTTCTTAAAGACATTTATCTCTTTGATGGCCTACGAGCTGACCGTACTACTGCTGCTTGGAGGTAAGCGTCATGTAACATTTATGTCGAATAGTTGTTTTGGCACTCTTAAAACTCGTTCTGTTATGGGGAAAACATAATAATCAAAAAGTTGCTGGTTTCATTTTTTAGTTTGGAATTGAGAGTTCCATTTTTGGATCTGGAATTTACCAACTACATGCTCAGCCTTCCACCGGACATGCTGAGACCAAAGGGTGGTGTAGAAAAACATCTTTTGCGCTCAGCTTTTGATGGAACAGGTTTACTGCCTGACAGCATTTTATGGAGACATAAGGAGGCTTTTAGGTAATTTAGAAAATCTGGATCACTTTCTTCTGACATGTTTTTTTCAAATCCAGATAATTTTAAATTAAAATCTGAATGCTCTTTCTAGTGATGGTGTGACATCTGTTAGAAAGTCCCTGTTCCAAATAATTCAGGAAATAGTTGCAATGAGGGATATTGGTGTAGAACTGAAAGATGCACAAGCTCTTTTCCCTCATTGTACTCCTAAAACAAGGGAGGCACTGTACTACAGGTATGAACATGTGCGCACTGAATTAATGCCAATGCTCTGTTAGGTATGGGGAGCAAGTAACATTATGTATACCGAGGAAATATTCTTATTTTTCAGGCAATTGTTTGAGAAAAACTATCCTCAACAATCATCTCTCATCCCATACATCTGGATGCCTCGTTGGGTGAATGTCAGTGACCCATCAGCTCGAGTCATTAGCCATTATGCTGCAGAGAAGGCAAAATAACTATCATATGCCTAAAAGTAAGTTTCATCAACTTAAGAGAAAACTCAGAAAGTTTTCTCCCTTCTTTCTTTCTGCTGGTCAGGAGCATATATTGTGTATTTTTTCACACTTGTTTGTGCATTAAATCATAGGGGTAAAATATCTGCCACTCTCAAAATGCCAATCTCAGTCACATAAGATGCTTCTTTAAACAAATGCCCGTTTACAATTCAACATTTTAATTTTCATGTAATTTCAAATTAACGATTTTTACAATCAAGCCATCATTCAAATCAAAACATAATTGTCCCTTTGAACTTGCCCCCAAATTAACTTTCATTTACCTGTTAACATTGATCTTAAATCGAAACATCAACAGAGATTTGCAACCCTTTAAAGTAGAGTTCAATTAACTTAAAAATATCTGCTTTCAACTTTTATGTACAACACTTACAATATACATGGGAAATATTCATACTAAGTTACATGGTGTTAAACAACAATGATCACCAATGTCGGCACATTTGATACATTTTGATACATGATATATTAACAAGAAAAGCCTTTAGGTGGAGTTTAAAGAGTATAGTAAGAAGAGTTGTTTTTTTTTTTTCTGAAAGCAAAGCAGAATGGCTTTTGTTTAACTTCCATGATTTGAGGACTTTTTGTTTTGTATAGTAGCCATAGCCACTCTGCTTTTCTGTTCACGTTTATACAATAGAGAACAGAGAAGAATGGGGAATCAAATCTAAAGGAAGAATAGATAGTGTGTACAAGATCTCAATATAGCTCAATGCAAGCTTTCTTAACTTTGTACTTAAATGCTTATTATTAATTTTATTATTATTGTAGAATAATGTGATTTATGCACTGACTGCATTAATTTGATGAAAGGATTTGGCAATTGCTCATGAGTGTTGTGAGGTTTTTTGTTGTTGTTGTTGCTTCTTTGAAATACGCACAGTGTGTTGCAACTTGTGATCCACAACAACCTACATGAGTTCATTGTGTTGATGTTTATGTACCATATTTTAAAATTGTCATTGCGCACCTCTGACATAAATTGCCCACACATATGAGGCTTTTCATTCTTTCATTGTGCTTGGTATGTACCTCTCTTAGCAATTGCCGACAGTCTTAGATATTTTCCTAAACTTATATTTAGCACATAATGAAACAGCTATGAGTTAAAAGAAGAACAGAATATACACTTGTGGGGTAGATAGGCCATTACAATATATGGAGTTTCTTTAATGATCGATCATTAAGGTTTTAAAATTTAAATCAGGTGAATCATAAACCTAGTACTTACAACTGAAATTTTATAAACAAGGGTTTTGATATGATGAAATGCAATTTTCAATAGAGGTCGAATTTCTGTTTTACTTTGTAACAAATCAAATCAGTACTGTTTTGGGTTACTGCTCTCTGAAGTTGTGCCAGTGACAAGTACTATAGGTTTTCTTCTTTAAATTTATATCTGCATTTTCAGCTCAAAGGCTAATCAAGGAGACTTTTGCTCAGATAGCAAACCAGGTGTACTCATAAAAATGCTCCTTAAATGCACATTCACACACACTGGTGTTTTTGTTTTGTTTTTTTAAGTCTTGGAAGGTTCATAATAGCTTCAGAAATGAGAATACTACTACATACTTTCCTAGATTTCATATGTGTATTTGTGACTTTGTATCCATACTATGGATGAACTGTTTTAAAAGTATTGCTAAATGCATCACATCCTACAAAACCTTTACCTAACGGTTTTAAAATAAAATTTACAATCCTAATACTTTATGAAGATCTTGCAACAATTTTCACAAAATAAATTATATTTGTATCGTTAATTAAAAGACAATTATTGCATTGTGTTTCATCACCTGGTTTTTCACTCATCTTCACATGGCATCTTTCTCTCTTGTGGAGACATCTTTTTTTAACCATTCATATTTTTTACTTATCCTATTCACTGACTCTCACATTCTCTCTTAATCACAACACAACATAATAAAAATGGATAACAATTTTTGTTTTATGTTACATCTTGTTGCGTTCCTCTATTTACAAGCTAAGAATACAGTCTGTGCTGGTGTACATGAATGGCATATAGAAAAATGCAGAGTAAGATTTACTTTGATGAATAGAAGTGAGTAATTTAAAGCGGAAGTACTTTCTGTCATAGAGAAGTGGTTAAGTTATTTATGGTTGACCATCGGTTAAGGCTGAGAAAAAGCAGTGGCAGGGTTAAAATGAATGCTGATATATCACAATGAAAGAGATTGCAATGTTCTAACAGGATCCATTCGTATCTCTTAGCCTACAGCAATAACATTAAAATTTGTGGCATGAAAACATCAATAAATTCTGTAAGAACGCTGACAAATCACAAAATACAAAAAGCCCCTCACCAAAGTTGACGCTGGTTTTTGTTTAGGGGAAATAACCATGATCCTTTGAAACTTACAGCTAAATAGTTTGTACAATTAAAACATTTTTCCCTTTATTTACATTAGCTATTAGCAGCAACCAGGGGGAGTTGACTAAACGGGTAGGTGTTTATTATTCCGCTGCAAAACCAAGCTCTAAAATCTAACATCCAATTAAATTCAATTTAAAAGTAAGATACCAGTTCTCCAAAAACAGGAAACTTTCTCCATCACCAACACTAAGGTTTCAGAGTTTCAGCAAAATATATCTGGAAGAAGTAAAATCAACTTTACAAAATAAAAAC